ATCAGATGGCTGCAATTCCCACCTCGCTATAAGAAATCCTCACAGCCTGTTCCTGACTGTACAACGGGCACAGAGCTGCTTGTTCCTTTAGTCAGCCCAGCATGGGATGGCTCAGGCAGTGGCTGTATGTCAGACGATGAGGAGCTCTGACACCATAGCTTTGTGCACACACTGTATTTCATACCAACACGGTCATCTTATCTGGTACTTCTGTAGAGCAATGGTCTGAAGTCACGAACATATCTGTATTTTTGGAGAACAGCTTCCTTCTGCAGTATCAAAACATGTCATTTGCTTTTTTTTCCTACAATAAAAACACTCACTTCAGCTCAGTGCTACAGAGAGGATTTATATGGGCCATTCTTTTTTGGAGTCCTGGCAGCTCTTCCTGCCTGTTATCTATGACCAGAAGTGAGCTGATGTATCTGAGTTTTTACAGGAAACCAAATCAGCAAATGTCACAGTAGCAGTGAAGCAGGATATAGTAAACTGTGCTACACGTACACATTCCATGCTTCCTCTACTCAGCTCATACAGCTGAAAGCAAAGCAGAAAACAGCAAATGCAGGTATAGGGAAAAGAAAGCTAAAGTGCTCCATAAATCCGAAGAGCTGATTTTTTTTCCCTGAAAAAGCAGTGAAAACATAAGCAATTGGAGCCCAACACTGAAGTGCTCGGGATATTGCGTGCCATAGGAGTCAGAACACCAGCCAAGATTTGCCTATAGCTCCTCTGTGCTTGTTTCAAACTGCTCCCAGGGGAGGTGCCTCACCGCTGCACACGAAGCAGGAGGCTTCTGTAAGGCCCAGGACACGACAGAACACATCACAACTCTGGCTTCACTCAAAGCCCCTCCTGACTTCATATCTCTTTTTAACAACTTTGGAAAAGAGCTGAATTTTTACACAGCCTTAAAACACTGTTTGCTTTATAGACAGTTTCAAGTTGGTGTGGATGAATCCCCTATATACAAAGCATGCACATCCTTCCAGAAACAAGGCCTCGTTACTAAAGGTTGATTTGTTTGCACAAAGCCTTCTCTCCTTTCTTTGTCTCTCCTGACTGAACCCCACCTCAAGCGAAGATTTGTTTCTTCCTCTCATTCTCTCCCCCATTCTTCAAACCCTACTCCACATCAGTCCCCATTCCAGCAAAGCCAGCGCCTTGCAGGTCTGGCACTGAACCAATGAGAAGATTAAATCCTTTCATCAAGCCCTGCCACACGTCACTCCAATTCCAATAGATGACATTACCAAGAAGGCAGATTACCCTATTCCTTGTTTTTAACACCTATATTCTTTCCAAGGGACAACTTAAAGACATGTGCGTCTGCCAGAAACAGATAGACTAAAGAAACTGATATTTTGGTAAACTCAGTGCACAAGGTGTGCTTAAAAATTCTATGAAAGCATAAACAATGCCCCAGCTGTCCTGTTGAATCCTGTCCTGTGGCTTAAAGGGGAACCATGAAAGAGGTTTTTGCTTGCTTGTTCTGTTTTTTTTTTTTTAAAGAAAGACATTAAGCCACTAGGATATATAGCAGTGGAACGTGCAGCAGGGCTGCTGCTAAGAACCAGTCTGGTGGAGAGTAAGGAGTTCTCATTTCTTCATATGGCAATGAAACAGTTGAAGAACATAACGTGTCAGAGGTCAGCATTGTGTTTCTGACTGTGGGACTGCATCGTACCAGGAGCAGCTCTGCTATTAGATGGGATACAGCAAATTACCCCATGGCCTTCCTAGCACCTCCCGCAGCCCAGAGCTCTCTGCCACTCATGCTTGATGCAATCACACCACAACGTCAGAAATGATGTTGGTGGTATGGCAGTAGAGGCTGAACCTTCCCACCAGTATTCCATTACATTTTGTTGCCAGATAGCAGCAGAAGAGCAGTCTGACAGAATGGCACCTAACACAGAAGTGTGGATAAAGCAAAAGTGTGGAATTTAATTCCTCTACACAGAAAAAAAACGACACCCATTGACATTCATCAATGCTTGCTGAATATTTATAGAGATCCAGCAGTTGATGCGAGCACAGTGAGGTGGTGGGTAGGACATTTCAGCAGTGGTGACAGCAACATGAAAGACCGTGAAAGACAAAACTGTTTTCCTTTTTTGTCTCAAAGCTTGCCTCATGAGGCCTTTCTGGTGATAAGACTCTAACTGACAACTGCAAATTATCTAGGGGGGTGAGTGGTGAGTGTCACCCTGCCACAATACCTCTGCTCATGATTGTAAAGATAAGCAGAAGCAGGACAGGCAGTCTTCTTCGGGGTGCGGCTTGAAGGAGCTGACCACTACAAAAGGCGATAATGCTTGTGCATGGCAACAAAGGCACCACTCCCTGCTGGCTGATCTGTTGGGCCAGGTATGTCACACTAAGAGAGAAAAGAAGAAAAAAAAACACCCAGAGAAATGGGGGATAAAAAGGCACTGACAAAACTTAGGGCTTTGGAGAAGAACTCCCAAAGAAACCTTTGACAGAGAACTCATTGAGGGAAAAACCTCTTTGGAAGAACCCCCCCCTCCAGGGTGTTGGTATGCCAACCACAAGAGCAGGCACTATATCAGGTTGCCCAGGGCTCCAGAATCTTGAAACACAGGAAGCCCAGTTACTGGAGCTGTGTGACTGAACCAGTGAGGATATACTTCACAGACTTCACAAAAGAAAGAGTAGGACTATCCCTATTTCAAAACAACGGCTGCACAGAACACTCATAGTATTATGAAAAGACAATTGACAGAATGGAAGTGTCCAGGTGTATATAAAATGAAATTAACTTATGGTTTAAATTATGATTAGTGTTTGTGGGCATGCTTACCATAACAATCAAGTATGAGAAAATACATGAAAGAAGAGGATAATCATTAGGAGACACGCATATATGTGGAACTGCATTTCCATAAATATAAACATATATATGTGTGTGTATGTATGTGTATATATATATATATATATATATATATATATATATATATATTAGTTCACACATTGAGTATTTACATAAGTCTCCTGTATGCAGACATACAGACAAGCTGGGACTGGACTCTTTCTGATACTGAACCACAGAGTCCCACTGAATGCTGTTCAGCTCAGTATCATTTACAGATTCACAACTGCTTGCTACCTACTATCTATACTTAATAAAGAAATAAAACACTATAATGCAATGGAAAGCACAGCAATAATAGCAGGGTAGCAAAGTCCGAGGCTGCAGCAAGTGAGGATAAACCCAAATGCAGTGGCTGTGTACACAGAAACAAAGGGAAAAAAGCTGCTTACCCACCTTAGGCCTCAGGTAGGCAGGGATCTCCAGCAAGAAACCCTTGCTTCCACTACAAAATGACATCTGGGAAGGAGTGGATCCTGGCTGCATACACCTGAGCTCCCCTGGGCTGGCCCTGCCTTCCCACCAGGTGCTCAGGGACTTGTACAAGCCATGACTTAGCATTTCACTTCAATATATAAACAAGCAACAAATCTGGTGTCAAATTCAGCTCCACTGTCAGACAAATTCAAGGCAGCCTGGCTCTTGGAAAAAGCAAATTCAGGAACTGGTTTAAGCAACCAGGGCAAAGAGCTGCCCTCTAAAGTGATCAGCAGAACTCACAGACAGGGTGCATTTATAGAAAGCCTTGATTATCTAGAAGTAGTACTCAAGAGTAGAAAGTGTGGCCATTTAATAGAGAATAAACTTATTAAGATGAATTACTAAATGGAAATAATCTACTTTACAATTAAACGAGCAGAAGTGTTAAAACAAAACTAATGGCAAACTCAATCTAAATGCCAGTATCCACACAATCAAGCAGCACATTATGATTCCACAGAAAGTACAAGAAATTCTACAAACCAAGCTTCATAGACTCTGTTAAAATAAAGTAAAAGAATCCTTACTCTTCCCCCCTCATAGCACCATGAGGAAAGAGAGCCTCCAAACAAACACACATAGCAAGAGAGCCCAAGGAAAACACATACGTGAATCTTCCCATGTCGTTTCAGATGGCAGCTAACACAGGCTGTATTCTTACAGCTGCACAGAGCCATGACTATATCCTCTTTTTTTTTTTGTTCATGTAAAACATCACAACATACATTACTTGTCCTCCTGAGGCCCGTGCCTTTTGCTGCTAAGTTGGCCTAAATGAACTCTGCCACAATGCTGCAGCATCAACTGCAAGAATACATCACCAGGGAACAAAGTAAAGACTCACTTGGAGAAATTTTCACAGCTATAAGAGACATCAGAACAAAGTGATGTAGATGTTCACACTTTGTTGCAAAGCTAAGTAAATTGGGACAGTTTGACACTTTGTTTGCAAAAGTCACATAATCCTCAAATAGCATAAATACAGGGGTGAGCCATGGCAAGTGGCTAGAAATAGATCCTCATGTGATTTCAGACACAGGACAAATACTTCGCTTATTATTACATCAAGATGGGAGAACAGCTTAAATAATAATTAAATAAACCAGTCATAAAGCAGTAAATAGAGACAGTGGCTGGGCAGATAACTGACAAGTTCATGATAGTGAATGCCATTTTACTGGTAGCAGGCTTTAGCAACCACAAAACATATTCCTGCTGGATTCAACAGCTCTATTCAGAGGGTCCTAAGCATGACTACTAGCACAGCAGCTGTTAGCAATGCAGGGAACATGGGGCATAAACAACCTCGATTGTAGGAATCAGAGTTGCACATATAAGCACTCAAATCTTATGCTGAAGAGGGCAAAGCAAAGTCAGAGCAAAATAAAAGGTTCTACAAGCGCTAGTGGTTATTTTCTTACATTTTATGTCAGCTCAATAGATTTTACCCTAAATATGTTCAGTCTACAACTAAAAATATATATACTTGCCTTTATTTCCTCCTCCTCCCCCCATAGGAGTTTCTATGTTATTGCATGCTGCCCATATATACTCTAACATCAATGAGAATGTTAAAAAACAACAAAAAAAAACAATACACAACACAAAACAGCCCTACCGCATGGGTTTCTCCACATTCTCTCACAAAGGCTTATGATTTGTTTCTCAGATAAAACACAGATCACAACAAGCACCGTGAGTGAAAACAGCTTTGTTTTAGAATAGTCACAGATCAAACACAGATCAAGGAACCCAACACTAGGCTACTCTGTGTTACTATTTGACAATTAATTCAATTCCTGATAATAACTGTTGTAACACTACAATGCGATGGAAAGCACAGCAAGGTAGCAAAGTCCTAGGCTACAGCCAGTGAGGATAAGCCCAAATGCAGCAGCTGCAGACACCAAAAGGAAAAAAAACTTATCTTTGAAAAGCCTCAGGTTGGGAAACTCCAGGGTAAGCACAGACCTCCAGCAAGATAGCCTCACCTCCACTACCAATCCTTAAATGAGGTCTGGGAAGGGGTGGATCCTGGCTGCACCCCTTCCGGTCACTCAGTTATACTGCATGCACCTGAGCTCCCCTGGGCTGGCCCTGCCTTCCCACAGGTGCTCAATCACTGGTTCAAGCTGTGACTTGCATTTCCACTACAACTGTAAACTAGCTGTTAGGCTGTGGTAGTATTTGTTTATCGATCAGTACACAAATATATACATTACACTTCACAGATACAGCTGATTTCATTTGTTTGCTACCAACACTAAAGTATTCATGCTGTATTTCCCACAACAAAAGGAGATATGCAGCACAACTGAAGAAAGAAGCACTGAGTATTACTTGGAGTGTAACTGAAACAAGTTAATCACGAGTGAAGAATTTGACAAGCAAAAATACCATAATCTACATGCAAGTGCCATACAACAGCAGCAGCAAAACACAGCAGAAAACCAACAGCTGACTCCCCAAGAAATCAGAACGTTTGTCTTCAGAGTACTTTCAACACACTTTGCCCACTGCATCCGAGTCCTTTCTCTTATCGCTCTCTTCCCTGCAATTTATGAATTGAGTTTGCAACATAATGAACTAAATACTCCAACTTTAATATTTTGCATTCATACCAAAAACAATTAACAGTTTTTACAAATAGTGTTATTTACTAAAACAATTCTTGTACAACAGTGCAGTATATCTAAATATATACATATGCCATCATCAAAGGGAGCATCAAAACAAAACAAACCAAAAATGTACTTTGCTACTGTGTACACTTTATTACAACCAGAACAGACTTCAGCAGGCTCCTTTTCTTTTTCATGACAAAGACAGAAATTATTTGGATTTCCAGAAGCACATGCAGGTGAGAGGAACAAAAACTCCTACCTTTTGCTAAGGTAGCAGCATGAAAATTGATCTGCAGCTATATATAGTAGCAAATGGAATGTTTTTAAATACAAATATCCTAACTCCAGAAACAAGGCTTCTAAGGGCTTACATAGTGTTTTTACATATTGAAGCAAAAAGTTCAAATTTCAGGGCCTTCCAAAGTTTTACTATGGCGTTGGATAGCATACACATCAAAGTCAATATTCTTCATTGCAGCTGAAAAGGAAAAAGGAGTACCTGTAGTGTGAAGTTGGTTGGCTTTATTAACATGGAATAGAAGAATACAAAATGATTCCGCCTGCCTTCTAACAGTGGACATTTTTGTAGATTTTATTTTGCTTTTTTTTTTTTTTTGAAAAAACTCCTCTTGATTTTTAAATGGAAAAATTATGCTCCCTTATTATTCAAAACCAATGTGTGCATCTTCTCCACAGGAAACTGCAGATACGTAATTCAAAATGCCATTGTAGCCACGGTAATTAGAGACATTCTTTTCTATTCAGTCTGTGAAACCCACCAGACAAGGAATAAAGTAAGACCCTCACAAGTGAAGACTGCACAGAAACCTTTGAAATGAGAGTGAAAAAATAAAGGTAAGTGATATTAGAGAAAATACTAAAAAAAATTAATCGGAGAATGAGGTATTAAGCAGTTCTCCAGTGTAAATCTGATGTTCCTGTCATCTAGATGAAATCAGAGAACTATAATAGCAGCCTAGATTTGATCAGCAAAATATGTCCATGCTATTAAAAGCGGATTTATTTCCTCTTATCTAAGCATTAGCAATCTGACAAAATCATATGAAGTTCTGGTTACTCAAATTCATTTCAGGTCCCCCTTCAAAACTTCTGAAGAGTCACTGTAGGAGGGCAATATGCTGCTCCACACCTGCTAAGTAGATACTTCTATCTTGTTCTTCATGGTTGTTTTACTGCTGTACAGGTATTCTGTCTTCTGACATTAAACACACATCTACACAGGTAACAGTTACTAAACATAAGTGGGTAAATATGTGGCAGCTGATGTTTCAACTGCAAACTCCTGAATATACTGCCATAACATCAGTGTAGCAAATCAAATTTTAACACGCTGACCTCAGTATTCTTCCTGGGATGCTTTACAGTAAATCTTTACATCTGTGTTACGTCCACATAAATTGAAATGATACACACAGGTAAACAAATTTTGTTTTTAGCTGAGAAATGCACAGAAGGCACTTTTCAGATTTTGCTCCAGTTCATGAAAACCAAGCCACTACAATACCCCTTCTGACATTAATTAACATTTCTGTATTCCTTAATAAAAACGTTAAACAACAAAGGGTTATACGAAATGCAGTGAAAAGACTTCAGCCTTTCATTGTCAATTTACATTCAAAAATTAGGTGTTCTGTTAGAACAAAAATGATGTGTCATTTCCAGGGATTCTGAACTTTCAGACAGATTAACTTCTTGAAACTTAAGTTCTTTGCTAAGAAGCTTTTCCACACAGCAGCTGTACATGTTCTTTCCCTCTCTCACCCATATTCAGTGTTCAATACCATAGTAAGACAGAATATACATGAAATTCATCAAAACAATGCATAAATAAGGAAACTGAACAGATCACATCAGGGAAAACCAGAAATGACATCTTCAGGCAGATGATACTAAACTGACTGAAAGGTGAATTGAAATATAATTGCTGAATACCAGTTAGAAGATAAGTGAAGGAATTAGTGCAGTGACAGCATGTAGCAAAGTAGGAGGAAGTGTAACTGAAAAGCAGTAAATCAAGGGATGCAACCATGTGAGAAGGCAAAATAATAATTCCTGGTTAATGAAACAGAACAACCATGAAGCAATACAGCTCCAAAATCAGCTTGGTCTGAAAACTGCATCTGAAATGAAAAAATAAATTGGGATGCTAAGACTGAACCTAAAATCAGCACCAATTGTGGTCAAAGAAAACTTTTTTTTTTTTTTTTTTTTTTTTTTTTTTTTTTTTTTTAAGTCAACTGATCCATGAAAGACTAGGAATGTGAATTGTTCAAGTCAGCTGGGCTATCTCAATGCTTTATGCTCCTCCTTGAATCAGGGCACAAGGAGTATGGAGTAGGAGGTTATTTACATTTCTGGTAGAAATTGCACACTTCTAAATACTGCTTCTCTGCTTCTCAGTAAGACAGCTAAAGCATGCAGAGAACACTATCTAAATGACACTACATGTCCTTTCTACAAAAAACCACTCTTCAATCTATTAAAAATGATCTATTATACAAATCCTTGGAATTTTATCTCCCCACCCCCCCCTTTTTTTTTTTGTAGTTGTTAGTGTTACCTTCCAAATTCCACAGACTTTTGTGCTAACACCAAATACAAACAGTCTGTGAGCGTGCTTAAGAATTCTGGAGAAAGAAAAAAACCAAACAAAACATGAACATTCCAGTATTGAAACAACCTGTTCTGGCTAGAAAATCACCAACTGGAACACATCGGGGCCACGTTTTGTAACCACTCTGGCTACAAAGTTAGGCAAATCAGCCATCCAAAAGGATTAAGAGGCAGAACACCAGCTCTACTAAACAGGTGAAACAAAGATTTGTTAAGTAACATACAGAGCAGGAGTATAAGGGATTACCAAGGTTAATTTACATTATAATGAACAATTGCAACATTTAATTCCAGAAGCATCACACTAAAATACAGTACACAAAAGCAAACAATTTCTGGCACATACATTAACGAGACCAGAAACACAGCTTTGATGCTGAAGCCACCTAGTATTGCTCTAACTGGAATGAGAGTCATCAGAAAAGGTAAGAGGAAACCAGAATGCAAAGTAACACCAATTCTTGTACAAGTAAGTCTGATCAGGCATAACAAAATTCCATTTCCATTACCAAAATCCTTTTGCAGCACCACAACTGCAGAAAGGAAATATTATGCCTCAAAAAAAAACACCTGGTTACGTTTCTAAGAAATGCAAGGGTTCCAAATAATGCACGTTGCTGCAGAAGAAAATTCAAAGTAATTTGAAAGTCAACAAAATTAAGAGGCCTTATCTATTCACACTATAGAAGGACTAATAAACTTAACTGGCAGAACAGCTGGAAATTGAAAAATTAACAGATGTTTAAGGCAGAAGTGTTTGTGTAAAAACAGTAAATAGAACAAATTGCTAAGCAAGGCCACAAGAGATCAAATAAAGCCCTGAAGGTTCTTCAGCAAAGTGATTTAAATGTACATAATTCTCCATTAATTCTCTAATTAAGAAGACTTGAATGAAGTTGTGTTATTCATGTTGCACGTTCCAGTTTATAACTCCACCATTTCTCCTCCAATTCAATTTCTCTCTGTCTTTGGTGTACTCTCTACCAACACACATAGAATACAGTTCTCGTTGTCATTATAAAAAAATCGACTTGGAAAAAAATAAATTATGTGCTTTTCATGACAAAATGCAAGATCCTGATCTGTTGCGTGGTCCCATGATATGTTTAGCAGCCTCTGAATAGTAGTTTTAGGTTATTAATTGTATGTGAAGCAGAATCACAACTTGTTGTTATCATCCCCCAGATCATTTACTAGCTGTCTAGTTTGCTTTGGTAGATAAAGCCATCTAATAGTCATGACACACTTGTGTTCAATTCAGGAAGTAATGAAACCTAGACTTGGATAAGTTTGGAATTCATGTATAGACCTTAATCTGTAAGTGTAACCATGATATTCAGAGTTACCACTTGTCCTGTATTGGAAAAAGACATCACATCTGTCATAAAACTAGATAAAACTATGAAACATGGTTGTCAGTTCATGATTAAAATAAAATAGTTATGTAAATTATTTTTTAACATTGTGTTAAATATATTCACATGATCACCATAGCTATACGTAATGGCCACTACTGCAATCACACACTATATGTACATAACATATATGCCACAACAGTTTGCAAGTGTTGAGGTTTTCACAGACTAGCCAATTTTACCATACATAAATAATCTTGTACCAATTTTTAGCCGTTTTAAAAGGAATTAAGTGTTCTAAATATATCCATTCCTCTGCAAAATTAAAAAAAAAAAATCCTAAAAAGTCAGTGCAAATTGAACTTGTTCACCAAGATAGATTCTTATTAAGCTGAAGATAAACAAAGTTTAAGAGATTAAAGGAAGAAACTCAAAGCACTGTCAACTGCTTTTAGCAGAGGTTAAAGAAGATTAGGAATCAGAAGTCCCGGATCCTATAGCAGAGCCTTCTGTGAATAGCTATGCTGTGGCTGTTGAGTAGGTGGAGGCTGTGTTTGCTGTGGAGGTGCTTGTTGGCTGCCTGCTGTCTGTGGCAGAGGTGTAGATGCTAAGTTATAGTTTGGCACCTGGGACATATTAGTTCCAGCATTCTGATAAGCAGCAACATCAACAGCAGCAGGTGGTGGACTATACACTGAAGCCTGGTTAGAGTAAGTATTTCCAGCAACAGAGCCAACCATTGCACTGAAAAATAAAAGAAAATGAAAACTTAAATGTCAGTTTAAAAACATTTTACAAACAGAAAGTTATGTTAATAACCTTTATTGCTTTAACTGTGCTATAATAAAAACACATAGAAAAGGCTACCTCCTAGCTCTGGACAGTTGCATATTTAAATTTGTAGACAATGAATATCCCAATTAAAATGCACTCCTCAGACTTAAATACCACTTTTTTGATTAGACTGAATCTATATTATATTTTAAATGTGCAACCTGGAACTCCATCCATTTTCTGTTTCTTGCTGTAACAGCCACTCAGTAGTTTTATTGAGTATTCTAAGCCCATGCACTTCATTCTCAAAAGGAGCAGAATTCTGAAGCTAGTATGATGTGATCTACACCTTCTCAGAAATAACACAAGACAGAGCAGCAGATGATTTTCATCATTAAACATCCATATATATATGATCTTTATACAAATATAGAAATATGTGTGTATATCTATGTATATAAATATCCACTGACACATACCAACACATAGAAATGTTTGAAATTTGTCAGAAATTTTGACAAAACACATGCCACCAGTAAAAAGCACCACTGCAATTAATTGCTACTAATTAAAGTAGACTTCAGTTGTGATTAAAATTACACTTCTAAAAGACAATTTTTCTCCTTAAAATATCATCTGTGGTCTTTTATATTTACACTGATTTACGCTTAAGTAGGAAAATACTTAAAATTACTTTGTGTATGACGTCTGTGCAGGCTGACCAGGTAGTACTGAACTGGCAGATGGAGTAACCGTGCCTTGGCTGAGAGAAGAGAGTTGTTCAGGAGGAAGATTATAGCCTTGAATGTGGCCCATCTGTGCACTCCCTGCCACCAAATATGCGTTACCTTGAGGTTGCCCTGGATAAACCTAGAAAGTTAAATAAAGGAATAGTAAGGATAAAATAAAGCAAAATTTTGGAAGTTAAAATCTGACTAAAGAACGTAAAGACATTTTCTTGAACCTTTTCCCTACAGATACGTTAATAAAAGCTAGCTGATATTGTCTTCCATTCGGTGATGCAGTATGAAAAAATAACTAGATTTTCAAAGGACTATTTACATTGCTATCCTCACACTCCAGAACTGTCAAAAAAGACAGGCAGTTTACTGGATGGCTTGTATTCCACATTTTATTTCAATGACTATCACTCATGCTAACTACAACTACTATCATTGAATGACAATACTGAGGATGTTGTGTAACAAGCAGCAGTCCAAGGAAGAGTAGTTTTTGATGCCCACAGAACTTCCAGTAAGTTAGAGCCATTAAAACAGACAGTCAAGAGTGTATTATTTTTCTATCCTTAGACAACATACAATTTCAAGCAAGTAAATGTTGAAAGTGCTATTGTGAATTTGTTTGAGGGCAAAATGAGGTCTTGAGGTCTTATTTTCTATTGAGAATATGGTACAGTTTTGTAACTAGTTAGAGTAGACAGAAGATATTTCAGCTATATTCTAAATCACGAGCACATTTTTAAAACCTACACTACTGTTCAGTCCCGAATTATTGGCTGAACAAAAATTACTAGAAGAAACTGTGAGGTCTCATACATAACTGAGTTCACATAAGTCAGTGATAGACAGCCCTTAAGATCCATGACCCTCAGACGACCAAAGATTGATCTTTGGCCAGCAATACAAAGGCCTAATAAGCTTTAATTTTTCTGCTGCTTATTTTTATGTATGACTTTTTCCTTGACCTAAACTATTTGAGCAGAAAAGAACTGGAATTGTTAAAACTGGTAAAAGGAATATCTCTAAAGCTTGCAGCTGAAAACACAGAATATTCTAGTCTTATAATGTGCTGAGAGAAAGAACTTCTTGTTCACTGAGAATATTTCTAAGGGAGCAAGATGATTTTATTAATGCACTGTAGACCATACACAGGTTGCCAGGTCCTGGGGAGGAGGGAGCAGCAGCAGGAGCACAAAAAGAGAAAACACACACCTCTTTGTAACCAGCACATCTCACCATATTTTATATAGAACTTGCAGTTTCAAAATCAATCGATTTTCAGTATATGTTTATTCCAGTAACGTACATAAGTATATTGCAAATAAAATACTTGAGTAAAATTTGAGCAAGTCAAATGCAGCTTAGTATATGCTTGATAATGTCAACAGCTATTAAAGTTTATGTACATACCTGAGAGCCAGAAACACCGGATGACTGCATATAATACTGTTGGTTTTGTAGCTTTGCATACATGGAATACATTGGGTCTTCATTCATCAATTTGTTATACAAAGAAAGAGCCTCCATTGCTTTAACATTGAGCTCTGAAAGTTCCGAATGTTTCCTAGAAAATACATAACATGGTTTATTCTACAGTTTGGATATCTTCAATACAGAACAGACAATATAGGGCAACTTTCACAAGGGGAGATAAGCAATATACTCCTGCTACCTGTGAAGTGATGTCTGCTAAGTGTCATAATGTCAAACAACAGAATACTATAACATATGATGCAACCAGGGAAAAGAAATCCTTCAGACCTCCTCACAGCTACTAGTAAATACACCTATTTTCTTTGCAAGTATTCACAGAAACAATTAGAATTATCACTGAGTAGCAACACTCATATTTCTAAGAATGAGTCTTAAGTCAAAACACATATGTACTTTTTTACCTGTCTATATCTTTTAATTTTTCATCTATGAGGGGTCCCATCTGGTGGCACATTGCTAGAAAAGAAGAACATTAAAATATCATCAGAGTAATTAAGATTTCTGTGCACCCAGTAAGAAAATAGCTTTAAGAAAATTATCAGATAAAAATGTGCAAGTGAAAATCAAAAAGAAGAAACAAAAAAAAGAAAAAAGCAAAAAGGAAAGAAAAATTAAGATTAGTGCAATAAGAAGTTGATCTCCACAAGGAGATCAACTATGAAAACAATTAAGGGGAAAACAGATTGCAGTGGTTCAAATCCTGCACATCAAAGACACAGCACATTGTTCTTTCACTGGAATCCTAACTGGATGAGGGAGATCCTGTTGAGTAAGGTTTTTACAAACCACTAAGACATTGCATGTAAAAACCAACACAAAGAAAAATCTACCAGAAGTAGAATGGAAGAACATTAAAACAAAAGCATGCCCTCAACGTCGTGCAAAGCACAATTAGCTAAGCGAAAGACAAATTCTGTCAAATGTAAAGTAAATAGGATAGGTAGCTGAAATGGGATACTACTGCCAAGCTCTGCTTTAGAATGCAAAACTTGCCTTCCTCTCCAAGCAATGAACTATTTAATAACTGGGAGATGTGCTTAATAAGCAATATCTCAGTCTCATTTGGTAAATAAATAAGACTGCAGAAAAACAAACAAAAAAAATTACAAAACATCAGAATCCTGAACATCCAGTAACAAAAACTTTTTCTGGGTTCAAGAGGCAAGTGAGGTTCGTAAGAGGATGTTGAATTTCCCTTATGAAGTTGATAAAATCAGCAATGGCACTTTTGACTTCAGATGGAGGCATCACTTCTGCAATTTTACACTTCATACTGAAAATGCATATAAAAGATCTCCTGATCGGAACAAAGATGTCACATAAATCAGGATCAGCTGGTAAACTTAAGCAGCTAATAAGAACTTAGAGAGTATCCTATTTTATTCATAGCTGAAAAATCTACATGCAAAGTGCACAGTCATGCTCCAGATATCTAGATTCATTCAGAATATGCCATTTTCTTAACAAAGTCTGTTCCCATCTGGATTGTAAATTTAAACCAACATTTTGTTCCGTGGTAAGTTTCTTTACTTCCTTCTCCAAACTTCCCTTTTAAAGCCTTTGTTGCATTTATCAGCCCAGGCAGAATAGTCTGTAATGCCTCTTTGAGAGGTATTCTGAATAAATCTGAGTGTAAAGGACTACTTAAGATATTTGTAGTATTCTATAAGGTATTTCTTAACAACACAATCCAACAGAAACATGAATGCAGGTGAAAAGCAAGTAGGACAACCAGAGGTCTATTCTAAGTCCCAGTAGTATTTTTCTTCCTCTCATGGAAGAACTCAAGCTGCGCCACTCCATGAGGGAAAAAAAACTGAGAATACTGAATCAAGTATTCACAGGTCTTGAAAAGTGAAAAAAGCTCGAATGCAGTTTCATTGAAAGAGCAGACTTTCTTTACATAAAAATTTTGCACTTCGGGAAATAGGAAAGAAGATGACAGTTAAGGCTCAAGGACTTTCTTCAGGCAGGATCGTGTTGTACATATGAAGTAATCTCAGCTAAGTTTCAATTTGTTTTGATTTGGGTATTTACTGAAGATGAAAGTAACAAAACTGAGATTCTCTTACCCTCAAGATGAAGTAATTCTGGGAGGTCTGGCTGGTCATCAGTTGGATCTGCACTCTGCAACATCTGCAGGAGCTGGTCCATTTTATCCTAGAACATAAGTTGTGTAATTAGTGTGGACAGAACAGGGAAGAATTAGCACTTTCAGCTTTAAGGAAACACAAATCACATATGCTATTTTACAGGAAAGAAGATGTTTGAATAAGGAAGAGCAAAATGATTAAAAACAAATGTTAGTAACAAGTGTAATGTGCAGTATACTCCTTAATGTGCAGTATACTCCTTTAATTCTAAAGTCCTTCTAAACAGTATTTTCAGGAGAGTTTCTGGGTCTCCTCTACTTATTACGTATGCAACACTACCACCTAGTGGGATTAGTGCAAATGTTTTGACAGAAAACACTGAGTACTTTAAACAAAGACATGGGTACTTCAACTACATTTACTGGAAAAATGCACACATTTTGTTTGTGCATGCTGTCTATTAGCACATAAACAATGGCATTATTAATACACATGGAAGGGTTTTTTTTTTTTTTAAGATGATATTAAGAGGGGTTGTATGGTTTAATTCAGTATTTTACATTGCTGATTAACCCATTTAAATAGGTTAATACAATTTTTATGTACACCAAGGGGAAAAAAATTAAAATGTATGAACTTTTCAAAAAGTATGTCTTGCTGTAAACTATAGTGCTTAACCAACCATTACTTATAAATAATTAGTAATTACTTCTTAGCTGAGTGTATCAAATAAATAGCCTTTAACAGGGCAGTTACACAGGCAGCATCATAAAGGAAACTAAAAACCAGGCCTTTTTCCTCTGAACTCTGGGAAAGAAGCCAAATTAACTATTTCCTTAAAAGATTATACTATAGCAAGTTTAAATATAAAACAAAATGGAATCAAAGACGACAAAGCTGGAAGGCACCTCAACACCCCAAGGCACAAGATAAGCCATTTCTGCACAGTAAAAACTTACAGATATCTCTTAGGAGGAAAAGTATTTGAGAAAGGGATAGATGAGGCAAGATAAATAGGATGTTAGGGAGGCAGTAACTAAATTTTTATTTCACAAAACAATGACAGAAAAGTTGAGAAAGACATAGAAGGTCATGGGAGAAAAAGGGAAAAATTCTGAACAGATCTCTCTCTCTTGGAAAGAGAAAAAGGTGGGGAAAAACAGCCTGGTCTGAGGGGCTCCTGGGTACTCTGCATGATTTCAGACTGAGCTGAAATCATGTGAATCTTATTAAGTATTACTTAGAATAACAAGTTTTCAGAGGAGGAAAATGATATTTCAGAGGGGGGGAAAACAGTGGTGTTATATTGGAAACAAATCTAAGACACCACTTCAAATGGGTGTATCTGAGGTATCTCAAAGTACTTAAAGCGCAACTTTAGAGCAAATGCATCACTCCACACCAAGCACCTAGTTTGCATGTAAACACCCATACAGTCCTGAAGCAGGGCCCTGAATTGAACAAAGTCTCCAAATTCAGTTTCATAAATTCCTAAGAACTTCAAGATACATTAGCACATTAGAGCACTGCAGATAATCAACTTTTCCCCTCATTCTTTTTGGCTACATTCTCTTGATAGTCCAAATTGCTTTTGAGATACAGGATGAAAGGGTTAAACATCACAAGTTAAAGTGTAACAGATGTTGAAAAAATCAGTATTTGTTTCACACTTACTTCATCAATATAAACTGGTTCAGGCTCAGGTTCTATTGTTTCTACTTGAACTTCATCACTGAACTGCACTGTTTTCTTCTCAGCTTTCACTGTAAGATAAATAGGCAGCTCTTATTTTATAAAATAAACAAAACAAGGGCAATACTACAGAGCTAGCATGTTACATCTGCAGATCTTTGCATCTGAAACTGTGAAAAACATAAAAATTATTTTGACATTTGAAGGACAAAGTATTTTCATACACAAACCAATTTACAATAAATAAATAAATAAAATCAATTCATATAAGGCCAATGGAAGCACATTTTAGAAAGTAAATGCCTTTGTTGTAGTCTCCGTCTATATAACACTTATTAGTAAGCCATCAAGAAAACACACTAAGAGAGATATTGGAAGAAATAGGGCTTATGAGTTAAACTTAAGACAAAACTGGGAAAATCATCTACAACAAAACTGTTCTCTTTTTCCCAGAGTAAAGTATAGAACTGAAAGTTGTCAAATTTCCTTCTCAGACAAATATCACTAACTGACCAGAGGCCTTCAGTTTTTTCTTAATTAAATATTTACCATTGCAACCAGGTAAAAAGATAATTAGGGAATAAACTGCTGGTTTGGGGGTTTTTTTTGTTTTTAATTTTTACAAATTTTCTCTGTCAGTAAATTGTTAAATGAGTCTCAAGGAAGCTAATGACTTGTAAACTGTAGGTAGCATCCTGTTTTTCAACAGATACCAGCGTGGGTAGCCATGGACTGGCATACGAAGATAGGACAGTGAGAGCATAGTAAGAACTCTTCAGTTTTACCATGAATATGACATGAACTTGTGACTTTATCATAAAGGAAAGCAAACATGGATCGTGTACAACTACAGATACATTGCATGAGCCAAGGCAAGGCTTAACACACATACATAAACATAAAGTTACTTACTCATTTCTGGCTCAGCAGAAAGATCAGCTGTAACAAAATTAGATGGAAACAGTCCTATACCCTGATGAGTTTCACCTTTCCACCAATTCGGATCACTGCAAGATTTTAAAAAGTAAAAATTAAAAACCCATACTCACAAGGAATTTTCTGACCTGCACCATACAAGGCATTTATACTACTTTTACATAAACACAATTTGCACATATGCAGAAATCTTCATATAATAATATTTACGCAATTACTTTCATAGATCAAAAATCTAGGAGATAACTAAATTAAATATTTAATGTATGAACATATTTTATTGCAGTTGTATTCAAATGTATGTTTCCAACATAGCATACACCATTACTCCTGACTGATTTTAAGTCTTATACACTTCTAATAGGCATTCTATTCAAGTTACCTGTCATCAAGGATAGTTATAAGTTCTCCAGCCTTAAAGGTTAATTCATTGTCTTCAGCAGCCTCAAAATCATAGATCGCACGAACCTTTCGGCCCTCATGTTTGTGATTTGTTAAAAGGCTTGAGGTGCTCGGATACAAACTGGAAAGTGTTGTTTGCTGTTGTCTTTGTTCTTTTAGCGACAGTTCAATTGCTACAAAAGAAGAGTTATCTAGATGAAAATTCCCTATATAAACGCGTAGAATGATTTGAAAACTTAATGCTATGAAAATATTTAGTATAATTCCACTCCTGTTTCACTGTAACCAACTTCTGCCTCTCCTGTAAAAATATGATAACAAATTAAATGACACTTTACAACTGTAGAGCAAAATTCTGCTCCTACAGTGTTTCCGTTTTATTAGATATTTACCTTCAAATTCTTTGAGTCAGCATGGAAATGCACTCACCTTTAGCTAAATCTTCTTCTTCTTTCTTGTTAGCTGCTGCACCAGGATCTTTGGCAACTAGGGCTGGACTTGCTTTTGCCTGCTCAGCAGCCTAGCCAAAAATAAAAGATGTAGAAGTAAAATCATTGAAAAACTGTCACAATGTATTAACATTCACTATTTTGATTTGTATTCATCTATATTTCAGGAGGAAATTCATTACTCAGAGGACAGTGAGAAAATGGCACCGCTGCCCAGAGAGCTATGGGTGCCCCATCCCTGGACGTGTTCAAATTCAGGTTGGATGGGGCCCTGGGCAGCCCGAGCTGGTGGGGAGCAGCTTTGTCCATGGCACAGGGTTGGAACTGGATGGAAGTTTCCAACTCAGGATGTTCTTTGATTCTATGATCTTGTGATCTGTGATACAAAAATCAAAAAAAGCCAGAGCATTTCAGCCCTCAAATGAATGCTTTATTTAGACAAGGAAGATTTCATTTTGTTTCCCAAATGCATAGTATTCAAGACTAGAAATACTAAAATACAGAACTGAGGATAAAAAGAATTTGTGATTTTTTGTATTACTATTTTTGTAGTACTATACCTGAGAACCGATAGCTGGGAAAGTAACTCCTTGCTCCTTCAGATTTTTTATCATGGCAGATATTAAACTAAGCTGTGGATCATTCTTGAATTCATCAGTCCATTCCACCATAAGGGCTTTCAGCTTTTCACAAACTTTTGGATGACCCTATAGAAAAATAAAAATTAAATAATGTAGGAATCTGTTTTTAATTCTTTAATTTCACATACATTCATGCTACTTCCAATATAAGCTATACGTACACTTGAAAACACAGTACATTAATAAGTGATACCTTTTATTAGAAAGGGAGAAGAGTACACCAGCTTTCAGTGCCATGTTTAATGGCCTTTGGGAACAGCATTTCAACAATATGGACTAGCCACAAAACACAGTATACAAAGTTACAGAAAAGCCTTTTATCATCTCCATTTCACTGCACGTCTGTATGTAGTATTTTATTGTTTTAATTGAATGTAAAAATGAATGTAGGTATTCACCAATGAATCTCATTCCACGCATGAACAAAATACACAAGTAACTGTAGTATGAAGTGGCAGTCAGAAAGCTATTTCTCAGTCAGTCTTCCCACTAATCTTTTATGTTTCTCTCAAAATCTCCTCTTTTCCTCGTGTTCTCTTCCCAAAATTTCCAGTCCTACATTCCAACCTCATGTTACTCCAGCTATCAATCTGATTTAGCTTTTATATGAATCATATAAATCAATGCAGTACATTACCTTATTCAACACATTGCTTACTTCACTGGCAAAGTCTCTTGAACAGACTTCTAAATGAAAGATTTTACCACAGTTTGATACACATGCTCCTAGAAGCTAAAGAAAGAAAGATTAAAACTCAGAGAAGAGTTCATGTAATACAGCTTTTTAGGAAAGAAGAGGACTACGTTAAAAGTAACCTACTGTTAAAGCCTGCATAGCAACATGGGGATCCTTATGGTTCACTCTCTTCATAATGGAACGAAGACAATCCTTAGGCCTAAAGCAAGACAAGACAGCTTTAAAGTTAGGTGACGGAATGCACATTCCTCATTGCACACGTGACAATGCATGACAATGCTAGCAGGCAGCAAACTCTGCTGAACACAGTCAGTACATTCTTTAGTGGCTTATAAGGGTAACAACAAATAAAAAATATTATGATAAATAATGAAAATAAATAAAAAAACAACCATTAGCTGTTCTAGTCACTTCTGTCTGTAGGACTGCTAGCTTCCTTAGTTATCAGAACATCCAAAAGGAATTTTATTTTTTTAGTTTGAGACTACTATCTGCCCCACTCATCAATTACTGGCAAGAGTCACCCCTCAATAAGCCTAGCTTCACATTCAACACGCCCTTCACTATACTTAACAAGTAATAGGAACCCTATTTCTTTTAGTAGATACAGAATCAGCATGTGTAATTAATGGTTAGTTAATGAATTAGGGTGATAATTACCTACACATAAATTTCCTTAAAATCTACAACTCCTCTATATTCCACATACACATCCAAAGAACACCACTATGCTCCTCAGGGTCAGTTTTAATCTATACAACACTCAAAGAAAATACGCAGCAAACCAATAAGTGCTTAGGAAAAAAAAAAAAAAAAACAGCATTAGATACTGCACATAAGTGTTTCAAATGAGTAAAATATGGAATTCGAGTTCTACCTATGCTGCCCTACATAGACATAATGGGAAAAGGGAATTCAAGAAACAACTTGAACAGATTTTCAGACACTGTTCAGTGCATTTAAAATTTTGTGTCTTTCAGATATTTAGTTGCGTTTTTGGAGGTGGTTGAAGGCTGAGCAAGGATGAAGCACAATTATCAAGAATATACAAGCATTATCTATTGAACAGCCATGAATGAGGTAAAAGCAGAGGAAGAGGGAAAAGGAATGGTACATTTAAACTAAGGGATTTTATACATTTCTGGAGTAATTATAGTGACTTTTGGAAGCAAAAACAATTTTCTATGGAACTGATATCCACAAACTAATATGAAACTTAGGTATAAGTTACACTACTGCTTGGATATACTATATTTGGCAGTGTCTACATTTTACAGAAATGTCTCTCTCATGTTTAGTAGTACTAATTATAGAAAATGCTATCATGTAGCAAGGCTACATGTTGTTCAGTGTATATCTTCATATAAGCAATTATTATTACAAATGAAAGCTGTAAGACAAGCACCGTTCATTACCTACTAATTAACCAAGACTTCTCCTGTGTTCACTACACCTGAGAAAGAATACATGACAAAATTTACAAAAATACTGTGGTGTTTTTTTATTCTTTTCTAAGTGAATGCCTTTATATATAAATAACTGCATTAACTTATGAGCACAACCACAGACATTAATTACCAAGCCAGCATTTACAAAAGCAGGCTACAGAATCAAGAACTTAGCAGTCCAGGAATAGGACCACAGCATCATTAGTCTAAGACAATTTTATTATGGAAGCTATTTCTAAAAAGTAGTAAAGTGACAATAAAGTTTCAAAATCAAATGACCTTCCATATTTGTCAAATACAATTTTGAAAAGTGTTAACGAAAAACCCACAACAAACAAAAAAACACCAAACCACAGTCATTCATAAGAACTTCCAAAAATGTGAGCAAATAGATGTTTTTAACAGAAACAATCAATATTTGAATATCACTGCTTTTTCGTAATGCTTTTAAAAAGATCTTTAGATTAATTCCACACCAAAAAAAAAATCATGCTTACTAATGCTCAGGTCACCAATTAAACTTCAAGTATCCCTACTGTAGACAGAACAAATATCCTTACTTTAATTTCAAATTAATTTGTCATGCAATTTAGCTAAGAAATGATGAAAAGCACTAAGCAGAAATTAGAAGAGAGGCATGCATTCCACAAGAATAAAATTCTGTCTATTAAGCACTTTCTCCAGGCCATGCTACACAAATATCAGCCTGCAATTCTGCTCTAATAACTTCATAATCAAAGCTTCAAAGGCAGCACAGCGAGGGAGGGTAACAAATCAGTAGGTGGAAGGTTGGGAAGGATTAAGTAGAAATTTTGATATTACATACTACATAATATATTCAGAAAACATTTGCAATAAAATGCAGTTTTAGAGAGTAAAATAATGCATTTGAATGGTAGGTACATCCACTATATACTTAACAAATACAACATTAACTGCATTTGAAGCTAGAATACTACTGCGCACAACACATTTCTTACATTTGTCAGCAATTTATCCTCTGTTCATTATCCAAGGTAACTGCCTATCAGACTCAAGGCTACCCAGGTGACTCAGTTGTTCTGCTTGCTCCTCTAGAAACCAGTAAGGCAGAGTATCTTGATCACTCTGTGAGACACACTGTGATGACTACTAACATGTTGCTTACATTGAGTAACTTGGGGGGGGCAAAAAAAGACAGGAAGTAGTTTGGAAGACTGCTTTTGTACAAGAGACATGGAAACAACCAAGGAGAATCAGCTGACCAGAATCAGCCCACAAGGAACCACAACAAAGTTACACAACCAGCAAAACAGACAAACCATTCCTGAGTGACAGCTTTTCAACATCCAAATTTCCCCCCAACAGAATGCTGCAACAGCCATTGCCGTCTTCTCCCACTCACTGACTTCATGGTTTTTTTTCCAGTCCATCATTTTTATTAACTAACATTCCTAGAGAAAAATTGAGGTAGTGATAGTTTCAAACAAACTAGGTTAAAACAAAAGTTACAACCCTGTCAAAGCCAAATGCAGACAATTACTGCATTAGCCTTGAAGCATGACAAATAAGAGTGCAAAATGGGTGCACCTCATACTAGAACATACCATAACTGTTAGGTTTCCCTTTTATCCATTGCAAACATAATTCCACTGTCGTAACATTATCTTACTAAGAGATGATGAAGTATAGATTAAGTTGTGACAGCATTTCTATTCCAAGCCAACAAAATGCAAAATCCATACCTCCCCTGTACTAAGATGACTTAAAACACAAGTAAAACACAATCAAAGGTTTTAAAGTAAACAGGTTTTCAATAACGTTGTCTAAAAAAGCAGAAAAACAAATTGCATCTAATGATAACAATCTTAGCATCTTTTCATGTTGAAAAGGCAGCTTGCTCAGCAGTTTCAGATACTGCCAATGTTCCCAAAACACCTGCAAAAAAATGCACGATGCAACTGCAAAACTGCATTGCTTACTAAAAAACATTCAGAGATTATAAAGCTTTTCCTATTGACTCAGACACATCTTAGATCACTCTCAGAAGCTGATATGCAATACAGTATCCAATTCCACAATGCACGTGGCAATACTTTACATATGCTAATGTAAAAAGGTACATTATTCAAAACATTACTGAATTTACTGTCCTTAGGCTGTTTTCTATGAAAATTCTATCAACTCTAATCAGTGAGTTTTTGAACTTCACTAAAAATTAAGAAAGCAGTCAATTAAAAAGGGAGATTTGGTGGAATTCCAACTTGATAAAACTGTGTTCGTTGGTTGGATCAAAGAAAAGTCAATTAGAAGATGGCTTTCTGTCACCAAGCTACAGCAATATAAAAACTAACAGTAGCACAAGTGTATGTATCCAGCTAGCAATTCCTCTACTAAACTGTAGTTAATTTATCTCAGGAGAAAATAAGTACTTGCAGACAACAGTTTTCCAACAACTACTCTGAAAGCAAACAAACAGATAAATGAGACAATGTGCAACATAACAGTATACAACAAAATGTTACACTTCATAAAGAAAAATAATTCCTTTAGGTGTATGGTGGTTTATGTTTAAAATGTTGAAAGGCATGCTATTCAAAAACTGTACAAAAGAAAATCAATAAAGTGGAAACAATACAGTATAAGCTTCTGCCAAACAGAACAGTTCACATTAGACAAAAATTGGTGAAAAAACTAAAGCAGAAGCCAGTTCCAATGATTAGTATCCTTGCCACAATAACTTAAATTGCAGAAGAGTTATTAAGTGTAGCTTATCTGATTTAAACTTAATGGGAAACATTGTCTTGCTTTACCTTGCTATAACATGACAAAATCCATACAAACAAAGAAAACTCACTATCAGCAAGTTTTTAACAGAATGTGCTTACTATTCAGCAATGAGTCAGCTGGCAGCATATTATAAGCAGGGTAAGTATTAGAAAGGTTAAAGTCACAGCAGGACAAAACCACTGCTGTTTTGTTTTTTTTGTTTGTTTGTTTTGTTTTTAAAATCGTAACAGAAATTCCAGCTGTCATGGAGAAACATAGCTGTATGTCGCCAGAAGATCGCTGGCTTTATCTGCATTTCCAAGCAGCTGTCTCTTGAGCTAATTACATTTAAGCACTGCTTAGGGTAAGCCACTGTGAAGCTGAATCTTGCCTATGCAAAAGTGGTGAAATAGAATACTGAGGTATTCTTCAATAACACTGTTGTTGTTGCAGACACAGCATCAACATACATGGAATAGAAACACATTTCACATATAGAGAATAATACAAAACATTATTAATAACTAACCAGTTTTTATTTTTACTGGAGTTATACACAACAGCACAGAAGTCTCAATATACCACACTATTCATAAATACTCCTCTAGACACCACTCTTAATCCCAAGGAACAAGTTAATTTGTGAACCTGTCCCCTGGAACAGCACCAGTGGCATAGCTCTCTTTTTGAACCTTCTTACCTGAAATGTTACAGGGAATGCTTGAGGAAAATGTATTTAAAAATGTCCAAAGTCTAACACAACACTGAATAAAAACACTACAGATATATCAAAATATCATCTTTATGACATATTTTTCACTTGCTATTTCAAATTATACTTTAACTCCTTATGTATTAAAAAAAAAAAGAAGGCTTGCATAAAGTCTCTTAGAGAGTTCATTACAGGATTGATAATGAAAGCATGAATAGTCTGCATTAAAGGTGCACTTCATTTAATCACATTTTTTTAAATGAACATTTCTTAAAGCCCTGATGCAAGAAAATAGTTTCTCAAAACAAGAGGGAGAAACACACATCCTCATTGTTTACCACACAGAGACACTGGTGGTGAGGATAAGGAGAGGCAGAGGACGCTTTAAACTTCAGTTTCAATAAAGTGCTGGACACAGTCTAGTATAGCTCTCCTTCTCACCAACAGGTGAAATACTGGCTGGATAAAAGGATGATAAGGTGGGTGGAAAACTGGCTGGGCTGCTGAGCTCACAGAGTTGTCAGCAGTGTGCAAATCCCAGCTGGTGGGCAGTAACTCGTGGTGTCCCTCAGGAAATTCCTGGGACTGGTGCTGCTAAATGTCTTCAGTAATGACCTAGATGACAGGAGGCATCTTTCCTGACAACAGCATGCTGGAGGAAGCAGCTGATATACCAGAGAGCGGGGCAGCTAGGGAGGTATGGACAGTAAGGAGAATGGGCAAACCAGAACATCATTAAATTTAACAAGTGAAAGGCAAGGTATTGCATCTGGAGTGGACTGCATCAGTGCAGGCCAGGAGCTGACTGCCCAAAACGCAGCTCCACAGGGAAGGCTTGGCACGACCCAGTGGGTGATAGGAGTGCAGTTTGGCAGCAAAGATGACCAAACACATCACAGGCCATAGTAACAACAGCACAGCCAGTAGAGCCAGAGAAGTGTTCCACTCTATCTATACAGCACTTGTAAGACTGCACTGGGACACTGCCCACTTTTGAGTTCTCCCATACAAGAAGGATGCTGACACACCACAGCAAGTTCAGTGGAGGGCTATCAAGATGACCAGAGGGGAGTCACATAGACATCAGCATGTGAGTTCAATTTTTAGAAGGACAGGGTAAAAGCAAACCTTACTGCTTTATACAACTACTTAAACAGAGGCCATTGATGAAACCAGATTCTTGTTAAAACTGCAGTCATAGGGTAAGACACAACAAGCAAGTTGGAACAAGGGAAACTGCAAACATATAGTAGAATCATTCATTTATTTACTTGCTTACTGTGAGGGTAGTTAAATGCTGAAATGGATTGCAGAGGTTGTGGAAACTCTGTCCTTGGAGGCATTCAAGACTCGGCACAGTCCTGAGCAACCTGATCTAAATAGACCTGTTTCAAGTAAGGGGGGTTGGACCAGATGACTTCTGGAGGTCACTTTGATCCTTGATTATGATTATACAAGAAAAAAATCCTGATGATGTCTGCTGGATTCACAGTGACACTGATAAAACATATCAGCTTGTTTATTCTTTTACACTGTGAAAAAACTGCCGTATGGAATTCCTGATTTTAAGAGACAAGGAAAGAACTGTAAAATATTTGGGCAGAAAATCCATACTTTCCTTTCACTGTAGTAAATCTACTCCAGTAAGTACATAAAGTAAATTAAACTCAGCTGCTTCAAAAGTCTACACAAGACAAAATTTTCATTCCTCTCATCTGAGTATAAGATTGAAATAATGAAGTGAATAATGTTTGTGGGGGACAGTTTCTAAAATCACTTACCCTGTGCGTGACTGTCCAACTTTATCACAGATGTCTAAGATGAGGCCCCAGTCCTCTGCAGTGTTCATCTCACTGGTTGCTTTCTCTAATGAACAAAATACAAATATAATAAATAAGAATATAAATATAATAATTTAACAAAATTGACAATAAAGATGTTGCAATGCTATTTCTGCATACAACTAAATGTATTACATTGTATACTTAATAAATTCATATAACTGTTGTGACTAAATATTTTTACCTTTCAAATGTTCACTTGCAGCTGCAAAGTTAAACTGGTAAGCAAATATATATTTGTTTTTTTCCACATAATAAATATATATCTAGAAGTATATCAAGTATCAACAGATATATTTTTTTCTTCATTTGGAAATGTTAAGTTTAAGATCATATAAATACTGGAAGCATTAGTTCCCTATTTGCAGCCAGACACAACCAGAATTTACCCCATACTCAGACACTAAGTTGCTGTGTCATACATTTTCTTTCTATGTCTTTCCTCTTCTCTCAGCAAGGGGGTTTCAAGAACTCATTGAAAGGCCAGTGATTATCATCTCCTCATTATTATCTCTGCTTTGGATGACATATTCCACTTTTTAGTCACAAAGCTAATCAGATAAAATCCACTGACCCTTTCTTCCAAATCTTCTGCATACGACAAGAACAGTCCCTCCTGAAGAGTGAAGAAATAAAGATGGGTGGAAAACAAATCAGAAGGAAAAACAGACTCCATCCCTATTTTTCCCCCAGAAAAGCCTAGGTACACAGAGGATAACAATAAATAAAAGTAATAAAGAAAACTGAGGTTTAAACTGCAGCTGTGTGGAATGGTATCTAAAAATTGATAGTTCAAGTCAGGGCTGGAGATCACAAGGCAATTTCCAAACAGAATCATCAAGGTTGGAAAAGAGGTCCAAGATCATCCAGTCCAACCATCCACCCACCACCAATATTTCCCACTAAACCATGTCCCTTAATAAAATATCTGAAAGCTTCTTGAACACCTCCAGAGACAGTGATTCCACTACCTCCCTGGCAGCCTGTTCCAGTGCCTGATCACTCTTTCAGAGAAGAGACAGAAGGAATGATGGGCAGAGAACTATAACCTATACCTGCTTCACCTAATATTCACCTTAGTCTGCCAAATATTCCTCAGCAATGAGTACGATCCCTCCCAGCATGCTTAGTTTAAAAGGGAAGGAAAGATTTCCTGTAAAAACTTCACTGTCAGGGAAGATTAATTAATCCAAACTAGCATTTGCAAGACTATGGAGAAGAGGAAAACTCTGAATAGATGCTATGATAACATCTGACACTAAGAAGACAAGCATTTTATTTTACTTTCAGTCTATTATTGTTCGAAATCATGCTTAGGGCCAGCAGTCAGAGAAATGGCTCAGTTTTTAAAGCTTGCTCATAAAGAAAACACAATCCAGTCAGGACACAAACTAAAAATGCCAAAAGCATGAGAATAGAGCCATGAGATTGTAGCCTGCCTACATCAACAAACATTGTTCTGTTACTCCAGAATTTCAATTTTGTGGTCAAAAATACTTTATATAAAACACCGAGCCCAAGCAGAATTGCACCTGAGCTGCTGTGCCTGCACTGCATTCCCTGCAACTGCTGTTCAACACGACCCATACCACGGATCGGCTGCGTAGAGGCAGCTCAGTTCCAGGGCTCCTGTTGCAGCTCACTGCCAACCCTGCTGGAGCTGGACCAGCTCCACTCTGTGCCCACAGAGCACCCTGCAGAGACCCTGGCTCCAGCCTGGCTCAGGGCTTTGTAGCCTCACGCCATGCTATGCTTCAGCAGCCACAGAGCTGAGGAATCCAATGGGATGGAAACTTCAGGCTCCTATGCTGTGCGTAATACTGCCTGTACTTCTGGCAAGAAGCAATTCTTCTCTTTACACAGCGTCACTGTAGAGAAATGCCATGGCAAACCATCAAGTAAAATAACGCATGCTTAGAGTTTAAATGACACCAAGCTGTTGTTTATGTTGATTTAAGCAGTTTGGATAAAACTACAGATACGATGGTATTGATGAAATCCCTAGTTCATACCAACCTCACCAATTACAACCTTCATTCTAAGTCTGAATGAGAATATTTTGCAGGCGTATCCACCAATACAGTTACAAGTTCACTATCACAGCTACATCATTTCTTGAAAGTTGAGCAGGTGGTCAGGTGGTTGGGCTCCCCAGGGCAGCGATCATGGCACCCAGCTGCAGGAGTTCAAGAAGCATTTGGACAACACCCTCAGACATGACACATCGTCTGATTTCTGGGTGGTCCTGTGTGAAGTCAGGAATTGGATTCGATGATCCCTATGGGTTCCTTCCAACTCAGGATATTCTGATCCCATGATTGTCTAAAAACCACCCATTGCCACAATGTCTCCATCACCAGACACTAAAAGGTTCCTTACAACATGCCAGCCTGGAACCCAAAGTCACTGAGTACTTTCTATCTTTGGTAATAAGCATCTATTACTTTCCTTGAATAAAAATTTAATAGTAAGACACTCGCAGTGACCAAGCTGAGCTAGACTGACACAAAAAAAGCCATTCTCTGAGCATTAGTGCATGGCAGTCACCTTTCACCACTCCAGGAAAAGGAGCAGCAGGGATGCTTGGAAATTCCTGTGTTGCGTCAGTGTTTCAGAGACAAAATTACAACTCAGAGCTATTTAAGTTCAATTACTTACACAGTTACCACTTAATGCGCTTCTCTGACACAAGGCACACACCTGCAGCCAAAACTCTCTGCACTCACTCAGCATTTGCACACCCCAGCTAACAGGTGGCACCCTGCCCTCCAGCCACTGGCACATCACTACCTCAGGGACAGGAAGGCAGCACAGAGTTGTACCTGAACTCTCGCAGTAGCTTCACACAGGAGATGGAACCTGAACTCAAAATGTTCTTCATCCTCCCTTCTCTGATCAAAAATAATTCTGTCATCGAAATACCAGTGCTTACCTCAGACCCTCCCCCACACACCTCATTGCTAAAACCTTACCCGATGACTGCCTGCCAGGGCAAGATCAGGTAACACTTCAGACTGCACTGAAACAACTCTTAAAGACAGCGCTGGCTCCTTCATGAAATCAGAGTTCTGTAAGACTCACTGACTGCATTTCAAACACAAAGAAAAACAGAACTCCATGACCCATGGCATAGGTTACCATACCCTGCCCCTGCTTTCCCAGAGCAGATCTCCCACAAAGCTGTATCACTAACACACCAGAGCGTAGGTGGCTTTTTATCTAGCATAGGCAAGGCCTATGAATTAACACTGCAACTTTAACCATTGCAACACAAATACAACACATCACATTTTTCAGTCACCAGCCTTCTCCCTTCATATTTCTCCTGTACCCATAGGAACTGGCATGCCAAGTGAGTGCAGTTCCATCTTGCCCTGGATTCAGTCTCTAACATATCATATCTGAAGAAATAGATGTGTAGGAAAACACAGAAAAGACCAAGGTAAGGTAAGCAGTAGTTGCATTCATTTTCCAAATAAATCAAACTTCTGGACAACATCTGCCTTCTAAAGAGAACACCACTCCTGAGTATAAATGCTGTCCAGCCCTTTGAAACACTGTACCAGAACTCAGGTGAGTGTCACACAATGTAGATCAGAAGCGGGGACAGCAAGATACACATCTGTGAGTTACCCTACTTACAACACCAGTTGTGGTGAGAGCGTATTAGCTCTTGCACTGAACTTGAATGGCTGTTTTTCTGATTGAGAAACTGAAAACTTGGAAGCTAAATAAATAAAGGGTGTTTTTTTGTTTGTTTGCTTAAACCATGCCTCCTGAAAGCTGTCTTGAAGTCGATCTTCCTTGCTCCTTATTAAGATATCCTATTTGTGCCTTTCAAAACAACATGCATATATAGTATTTTACTATATTATAGTAATATATATATATTATATATATGTATATATGTATATATATGTAAAATATATATATATACTTATATATGTAAAATACTATATATGCATGTTTATATATACATATATATAAAGGAGAAAACCTGTTCAGTGTTGGTTTTCAATAGAAGACCTAACAGGCCACGCTGGGTAGGGATCTAAATGGCCAAAAAATGCTTGTCGTTTTCAGGTACCCAAAACAACCAGAAGTTTAGCTGCCTATTCAGCATCAACACCATTTGTCTCAGACTTCTTAGTGCTCATTTCCTATACAAACAAAGGTGGGAAGAAATATCAGCCACCAAACTGCAATTCAGAAGAATGTTCCAGTCCTACAGCCTAACCTACAAAGGTTTACTTACAAAATGACTGTGCTTTGCAGAGTATACTACAATAGCCAAGAGGGTTTGGCTGGGGGTTTTGTTTTTTTCTGGTTTATTTGTTTGTTTTGCTACCTTTTTTTTTTTTTTTTTTTTTTAAGGCATTTTTTGAGCAGTGGACTGACGGTTGTAAGCCACTGATTTAAGAAAAAATACATGAAAGCAATTTCCTTTAACTGTTGTCATCACATCTGGTATAGCTACTGATGGTGCCTGAAGATGGCTGGTAAAACAGAGGTATTTATAAAATGAATGGAAGATGATGAACTTACCATCAGCAGTTCAGGTCTGATGAAATATCACTTCATCAGACATAAAAAAAACTTACATGCAAAAGCTTTAAAAATGGTTAATGTCACATAAATCATCATCAAAGCTGTCAGTTTTGTAAAGTCCAAGGGACAGAGTCACCAGTTCTAGCAGTTCCTTAAAAGTATGGATGCTGATTATGAGGTCATCATTCACTTTTCTGAAGGCAGGAGCCTAAGTCGGGGCAAAATGTTGCAAAGACTTTATGACTTGCAAAGTGAAATCCAGTCCTTTATGGAATTAGAAGGAAAATTTGTGCCAGGACATAAAGACTTAAAATGGCTCACACGTTTAGCATTTTTGGTAGATTTTACCATTCATTTAAATGAGCTAAACATGCATCTTCAAGGTGAAAATCAGCTTATCTGTGCCATGTTTCAAACCATAACAGTATTTGAAATGCAACATAAATTATGGCAAGCTCAAATCACTGCAAATAATTTCATGCATTTTGACACACTGGCTAAACACAGTCCAATGAACAGTGGAAAATATACAGCCATGCTTTCTGTTTTGATAAAGGAACTTGAGAATAGGTTTCAAGATTTCAAAAAAATATATTTTTTTTACACTGTATATTTTTGACCCCATTTTTAGGTTGACATAAATAAATTACCTGCAAATTTTCAAGTGGAATGCATAGAGCTGCAAACAGGCATTCAACTCAAAGAAAAATTTGGTAATGTCTCTTCACCAAACTTGTATGAATCCTCTCTTGCCAAAGAAAAATATCCCTCACTTTACAGTCATGTCTTATTCACCTCACTGTTTTTTGGCAGTACATACATCTGGGAATAACTATTGTCAAGGATGAAGCACAGGAGGAGTAATATTTCATCAAAAATTTCTGATGAACACCCTGAGAATGCACTTGGAATGGCAACCAATGCCATCAAACCAGCCTGATGCATTAGTTTCACAGAGTCAAATACACTAGTATTACATTTTTGTTCTGTTTTTTTTTTTTTTTTTAAATGTTTCATTAAAAAATACATTTAAAGAAGTTGTTACCTATATACTCCATACTCCAACTTTATTATTTATTTTATATGCAGCCTGTTTGCTCAGTGCAGTCCAGGTAAGCCAAAAGGTTGCCCAACCATGAGATAGGGCACACCTTTCTTGTAAAAATCAATAACAATGCTGAGAATATTTAGTCTTTTTTTTTTTTTCCCCCTTTTTTGTTTATATTTAACCATTTCTGCAAGGATAACTGTATAACTATAGGCATGTGAATATATACCAAAAAATAGCAGCTTACTTGTCCAATACTGGACAGAGGTCCTTTTTTACAATAACTGTCTCCCGCAAAAAATAATGCGAATAACAAAAATAAATGCAAAGCTGAAAAGCTTCTTTAACTTTGTGTCAGCCTCAGATCTGCAATTATGTTGCCATATATGCACTCAAAATATAAACAGTCTGGCAAACTTCTGAGCTTCTAGGACACCTAAGCACACCAGCTTCACACCTTGCTCTGTGAAGCTCAGCTACCTCCCCTCTGATTTGCACAAATGCAAAGACTTTTAGCACCTTGAGCTGTTTTCTCCTCTGATTTTGTACATTGTTTAAAAATTGTAAGTAATGCAAAAATATTTATTCTGTGATTCTACCTGAAGTTTCCCTTATGCTCAGGCGCCAGTAAGAGAAACACAGACATTGCCACATCCCACCAGACCTGCCATACAAGTATCAGCAAGTTTCCTGCATTCTCTGACAGTTCTGCACCACGCTGCCCAGCCAGAACTCTGCAAGACTATCCACTGTCAACACCAGATTACACTGCAGGTTTAAGTTATCTGAAGTTCAGATTTCACTCATATTAAAGCATTCCAATATTAGAATTGACCTACTTGTTTTCTGCTACGTACTCTCAAAGATGTTAAAACAAACTAGAATTTTAAGAAACAGCAATAATAGCTCAAAACTTCACATAAACCCAACATTTAAAATCTGCGTAATTTGAAGCAGTTAGAACAAATGAGAGTAAAAACTCAAAGCCTATTCTACTAAACCAGGATGTCGAGCCATTCTAGTTGGTATTTACTTACTCCATCCATGGACATAACTGCCCTCCCCATCACATACCTCTGAAACGAGATAATAAAGTTCTTAGTGAAGGTACAAAGAAAAGAGTGGCTGAAGGCAGCCTTCACTTACACAGGAAAATTACTATCAGCTTCCAGCAGAACAAAAAGTCCTCAATGATCTGTTACACCAATGTAAACGCCATGGGAGCGACACAAAATTCAGCACTCCCATCAGCCTTCTCTCCCACTGTCCCACTCAAAGTCCTGTTTCCTTCTCAAGCCTAAATAAATAATTTCCCCCCTCTCAATATAAATATAAATATAGACATGTGCTTACAATGTTTGGGAATTTTAGTAACTACCAAATCTATTCAATAATTTACATGGTCCCAGAAAAATGAAACTGACTGCATTTTTTGTTGTTGGCAGTCTCTTGCCATGTAATTCTGTCCCCATACCATTCCATGTCACGTGATTAATTTCATTCTTTTTGTCTGTCAAAATGACCGATACATTTGTTCGACCATTCTATACAAACCACCTCTTTATATTAACCACACACACAGAACCACAGAGAAAAATAAGGCCAACTCATTTTGATCTAAGCAACACTGAAAATAAGCCTCCAGCAGAGAGTGCGTTCATAGACACTAGAATTCCCTGTCACACTTTTAACTTCAGTAAAGCCATCTGAGTCAGGGTAATTCCAGATGTGAGTACAGACTGGGAAAAGAACTCATAGAGAACAGCTCTGCAGAGGACTTGGAGGTTCTGGTGGATGAAAAGTTGCACATGAGCCAGCAGCATGCTCTTGCAGCCAAGAAGGCTAACTATATCCTGGGCTGCAAAAACAGAGGTGGCAGCAGACCTTCCAGCACTTGAAGAGCACCTAAAAGCAGGAGAGGGACTGAACTTCTGCACAGTCTGATGGTGACAAGAAGGACTGGCCTTATGGCTTCACACTAAACATCCAACCTAAATCTCCCTACATTAGGAGGAATTTTTTTACTCAGAGAGCAGTGAGGCAATGGACTCGGCTGCCCAGAGAAGCTGCGGATGTCCCATCTCTGGAATGTTCAAGGCTGGATTGGATGAGGCCCTGGCCAACCTCATCTGGTGGGTGGCAGCCCTGTCCATGGCACAGGGGTTGCAATCAGATGATCTTTAAGCTCTCCTCCAAACTAAGCTGTTCTATGATTAGCCGATTTCTTCTACTTAACTGCATTCCCATTTACAGTACTCCCAAAAAGTCCTTCTGGAAGCACTTCTGGGAGGCATCCAATGAAGGCAGCACCAGCTGACCTGAGGCAAACAAGCAGCAATGGCAGAGCAGCTGGGAGGCCATCTTGGCTCATTCCTTCAGAGGACTGTGTATGATTTCTCTGTCAAAGAGGCAGCCCAGCAACAGACATCGCTCAGCAAAATGAGCTGGACAGAACAAAGATAAAGGGCTTAGAGATCTGCTAAGAATGCCTAGTGAGCTGGGCAAAAGTGATTTAGTGACTTTGTTGCAAACTGTAACAAATCCACAGAATTTAAAACAACCTTTCACCCAGAGCTATTACAGCAGAGCAGGAAGGTGAGCACATGGGAGATAGACAAGACAGATGATGACAGACTGCACACAAGGTGGATCACAGGCCAGTAACACAAACAAGTGCTGCCAGGATCTATTGCAGTGCCCCACAGATTAAGCCACAGTAGAAGCAGCATTTCAGAAAGATCAGCAAGGGACATCACCATCCACGTCAAAGATATAGTGTTATTTTTATCACAGAGAAACAGATTTTACATTCTGGAGAACTACTTTGATTTCTCCAAATGTTGATGTTACAACACACATTGAAATGAGAGGAAGCACTTTAAAATGACATCTCATCCCTGAGAGGAAAGAAAAAGAATTATCAACAAAGTACAGTCTACAAAACCTCCTTTGCCAAAGGAATGCATGATGTGGGCTTCAAATTTGCCCAGCTGAACTCAAGTCTGGTGATTCTTCTTCAGAATGCGATAAAGAAAAAGAATTTGGGAGAGCTATTATATAGAAGAGGTATTTACTTTATCAGGATCCTGTCTGCATTGCCATTCTTTGTTGAGATCACACAGTGAAGTGAGAAATTCTTGTTTTATGGAAACATTTATGAAGGACTGAAAGGGGGCTGGCTACAGCCCCTTTCCACAAGCTTTCTGCTAAGCTCACAGTTAATATTCTTTCCCCTCAAACAATGCTGAGAAAAGCAGTTGGCCAACTTGGGCAAAAAAAATGCCAGTCTCACGATAAACTGAACCAATCCTTGTAAGTTGTCCTTCCTTGCAGCCAGAGGTAGTTAACTCACAGCTTGCATTCTTCACAGTTCTCCAGGGTCAAGAGCCTCCTCTGTAATAAACTTCCCTCCTTTTGGCAAACCCAAAGCTGTTCTAAACAGTGAGAAGCCCAGCTCACAGAAACACAGAACTGTGTGGTTTTGAAGATGTTGTCTAGCAAAGGGGATAGCGTAATGATGTTGACTAACAAGGGGGATAGACCTATAGAGTAACCAGTTTAAAGAGCAAGAGTATTTTATTACAAGAAATTGCACAATGGGATTTGAAGCCAAAGTATTTCTTACATCCTACTGCATCAAACTCTATGTATACCTTAGCATACTACTCAGCAACATTCATATGTAATCCATGCATGTTATTAAATTTCTAAAAGAGTTATATATTTCTGTAAGAGTTACAAGCATAAAATAGTCACTAAATACCACAGCTGAAAATGTGGGAAAAATCACTGCTATCAAATTGATAGTTTTATTACATTACCGAACTACCTGTTTAATTTCCTGTTACTGTAAATAGAAAGCCTGATTCTTTATGTTATTCCCACTCTTGTGACGCCTCAAACCATTACAACTACAATGAGAACAAGACTAACATGCAAAGCAGATGCAAGAAGTGCCTCCATCTATTGCTGCAAATAAGCAAAAAACATTATCTAAGAGTTACTTCCACTGGCATTCTGGACATTTGCTGAATGATGGATCAACTTCTAAAAATAATAATTCAAAATGGTCTTTCAAAAGTGAATTAAATAATTAATTGACTTTCTAACAACTCAGACCAGACTGTGTGTTTATTGCAGCCCATAAAACTGCAGAAATGCATTAAAACAATAAGCTTGGAGCACAGAGTGAGAAGTTCTTCCAATTGTCAGTAACATAGGTTACTTTCACAATGCTTGATATCAACTCACAGTTAAGTACGCATACATCCAGAGTTACAGATTTTATTCTTGAGACAGCATCTCAGTAACACTTCAGAACTGCTCCAACAGTTACTTCTTCATCAGACACAGCCTACCCACCGCTACTTCACTAATTAGCCTGTCAGGACAGATTAGCAGACAGTCTTTTGGTTCTTAAGGTACACTGCATCATTACCTTGCCTGTCTCAAATTTACAGGATAAACTTGCAACCCTATGCAAATGATTTTAAGACTTAAGTTATGAAATATGACTTCCCATCAAACCAATAACAACGTCATTAATTCTAAACCCCTATGCAGACGATTAGAGTCTTTAAACTATATCCTCAGCAGTTCAGTATCTTGCAGGGTTTGTTTTGTTTTGTTCATATTCCGGTGTTATATTCCTTACATGGACACACTGTCAAATGTTCCCACAGCTGATTGTAAAAATCCGCAGCAATTTACGCCACCATTCATTAGCATCCCTTTGTGCAGAAGCATTCCTAAATATGGTAAAAATTCTTTTGTTAACAGAACAGAAGTATTTGGATTTCATGCAGAAATTAGGTCTCCTCAAGAACAACAGTGGTTTATCTCCTCAAATCCATGGGCAGATTAAAATAGTGTTTTAACAGTAGTCTTAACATTCTTCTGCTGATCACTTGTAAAGATGAGATGCACCCCTCAGAATCTCAGCACTAAGCTGACTCCAAGTGGCAT